TAAATAAAATAAAATAAAAATGTTCTTATAAGTTTCATGACTGAGCCCAGCGGTGGGGTCCCACAACCTTATCCCAGCACTGGGGAGGCAGAGGCAGGCAGATCACCAGGTTAGCCTGGTCTACCGAGTGAGTTCCAGGACAGCAAGGGGTACAGAGAGAAACCCTGTCTGGTGGGGGGGGGGGAGGGGGGAACAAACCAATCAGCCAAACAAACAAAAACCAGAAGTTCCATGACTGTTCTACTAGAATTACTTTTTCAAGCCATGGTAATAATTTAGAGGGCACATTTAGCATGAAGGAGCTTCTAGCAAAGTAGATAAACCAGGAGGAATTCAAGGCCAGGCTAGGGTACATGAGACCCCATTCAAAAACCCAGAATGGAAGAGGGGTGGTGCTAGTATCTGACTACAGAGATAGCTTCTCACAGTCATTCAAAGAAAACCAAGAGAGGTTAAACCAAAGGAAGTAAGTACAGAAACACAGCCTAACAATTTGATTGATTTAGTTGTTCCTTAAGAGAGTAAAGATCAAAGAAGTATGTAGCTGGGCATGGTGGCACATGCAGAAGCAGGCAGATCTCTGAGTCCAAGGCCAACCTGGTCTATACAGGGAGTTCCAGGCCAGCCAGAGCTACACAGTGATCTATCTCCAAAAAACAAAATCACTAATAGGCCTTTCTCCTTGAGGCTGGAGAGTGTAAGAAAAAAGGAATTGAGAAAATGTTTTGTCTGACAAGAGACTAGAGGAACAATCCCTTCACCTCTCCAAGAGAAAGAAGAATCCTTTAGCTCCATTCTATAACCTATGGTTTCTGTCCTTAAGTTTACTTACATGGTGTGTTACATTTATTGGTTTACATATACTGATATGTAACAGTGATACATTATGTATCAATGATACATATACATATACTGATATATATGTTTTTTTATAATTTATTTTATGTGCATTGGTGTGAAGATCTCAGATCCCCTGGAACTGGAGTTACAGACAGTTGTGAGCTGCCATATGGGTGCTGGGAATTGAACCTGGGTCCCCTGGAAGAGCAGCCAATGCTCTTAACCTCTGAGCCATCTCTCCAGCTCATCCATCCATCCATCCATCCATCCATCCATTTATTTTGTATACAGTGTTCTGTCTCCCTTGGAGGCATGGGCAAGATCTAGGACGGTAGGGTTAAAAGACTAGCTTGAGCGCAAGTTCTCTGCGTTGGGCACCAGATAATACGAGAAATCCACTGAATCGAGGGGGTGGGGGGAAACAGAGTAGGTATATCAGGTCCCGAGAGGCCACGCTCCAGGGGCATGTACTTCAAGGTCATAGACAGAACAGCTACCCACTACACTAACCTCAGGCAACCAGACACTAAGGCTGCTGTTGACATGTGGGTGGTAAGAATATGCCTGAAATTCCCTGCCTACACCACCAGAAGAACATTAGGCTATGTGAAAGCAAGATTTCGGGCATCTAACAGAGGAACAAATCCTGTTTAAAGAGTAATGTCCCCCAACTCCATATTCCCTCTGATTTTGTGACCTAGGCTGTTCAACAACTGTCAATCCTCCTGGCCCCACCCATCAAGTGTGGGGATTCTAAGCATACAGCAGCGCCCTGAGAGGAGTGGTTTCATCAGGATGCCAATGCTGTCCTTGAAGCAACCCTTCTTCCTGTTTTAACCTCCCATGTAGCAGGCTAAACTCTTTTTCCTTGATTTTTGAGACAGGGTCTTTTTACATAGCCCTGGCTATCCTGGAGCTCACTCACTATGTAGACCAGGCTGGCCTAGAACTCAGAGATCCTCCTGCCTCTACCTTCCAAGTGTTGGGCTTAAAGGTTCATGCCATTGTACTGGGCTTTAAAATCATATCTCTTACAAGTGGCCTACCGAAACCAAGCATGGTAGCTCAGGCCTATAACTATGACCCTTTGGAAGTGGAGGATCACAAGTTCAAGATCAGACTCACCACATACTTATGTCAGAGAGAGAGAGAGAGAGAGAGAGAGAGAGAGAGAGAGAGAGAGAGAGAGAGAGAGAGAGAGAGAGAGAGCGCATGACTACATGAAACTCTGGCTTAAGGGGGGGAAAAAGCCTGTCTTGGAGGAGACACCAGCTCTCAATTTTAAATAATTTGACTGGATCACTAAATGACTCTTTTAGGGATTTTGTATTTGAGTAATTTTATTTTTACATCCCTTGGCTTAAAAAGGGAACACCACAAATTCACCATACTGACCTACCCACACCTATACAGACAAAAACTGCTTGTCCTACACAAAATGGGAAAACAAGTGTACAGGCTAGGTAAAAAGCTTCTAATAAATGTCACTATGCCACCATCTGAAAACTGTTTCTAAAAGCACACAGCCTGTGAGTGAACTAATGAATATTGGGAAGCATTTACTAGATGGTTGTCATGTTACAGCTATAAATACCAGATTCAACATCTGGTAAACAAACACCTTTTGTTTTGCATCTTAATATAGCACAAAGGGTTGAACTGTCTACTCATCACTACTGCATACCACAAAATTGAATAAAATTTAATATTCTGACTCCAAGAATTTATACCTGAATACTTACCTAGACCAGTGTCAAGGTACTTTATTTTTACAAACCTATGCCAATATTTCTGTATTTTTACTCCTTTCATTAACACTAATTTCTGGGCAGTGTCTGGCCCGACCTAAAATTGGAATATAAATTAGACTCATAAATAAGACATTATAAAAGTGGGGCACTACAATTTCACAATTAGAGCACTTAAAAAAACACAAAATTTTAACAATCTTTAATTATGTGTACATGTCTGTGTGTGAGTATGTACATGTGTGTTCAGGTGCCCTTGTAGGACAGAAAGTGTCAGATGGCCTGGAACTAGAGTTCCAGGTGGCTGTGAGCCCCTGATGCATGCTGGGAACTGACCTGGGGTCCTCTTGACAGAAGAAACACAGGGTCTTACCCACTGGGCCATCTCTCTAGCCCCATGTTACTTCTTGTTTTGTTTTTTGAGACAGGCTTTCTCTGTATAGCTCTGGCTGTTCTGGAACTAAAGGGGTGAGCCATCACCTTGCCCCATATTATTTCTTTATAAGCTATTTTTTCCAAGTATCACAGGTTTATAAAAAAGGTGAAAACTAGGGCTGGTAAAGTACACTGGCCGCTCTTACAGAGGACCTAGATTTGATTCCTATCACCCACATTAGGTGGCTCACAACCACCTGTAACTCTAGTCCCAGGAGATCTGACATTCTCTTCTGGCCTCCAAGGGCACCAGGTATGCACATGGGTATAATAATTTAAAATTTTTAAATGAAAACTGAACTGGATATAGAGGTACATGCCTGTAAATCCCAGCACTCATGAGGCTGAATGAGTGAGATGCCAACTTTGAGGCCAGGCTGTCTCTGTCTGTCCCCAGTCCCGTCCTCTCCCTCTCTCCCTCCCCCTCCCTCCACGGAGTAGAAGCAGATCAATCTCTGTGAATTCCAGGTCAACAACAACAAACAGATGAAAATTATTTTGCCAAGTTAGACTTGGTTGGGGCTTCCTAGTTTGATGATCTACCCAACCCCAATCCTTCCCTTTGGTTCTCCAGCCAGTAAGCCTTTCCCTTTCTGACTCATCTCTGCACATTTATGACCATCACTTCCTTGAATATCAGGCTCAAAAACTGGCTCCTTGGGAAGCCCTCCCAGATTAAGCTCATTTCCATCAAATACTTTTTTTTAAGACAGAGTCCCACTGTGTAGTCCTGGCTGGCCTGGAACTCACTCTGTAGACCAGGCTGGCCTCCAACTCACAGAGGATCTGCCTGCCTCTGCCTCCCGAGTGCTGGGATTAAAGGTGAGCACCACCATGACTTCAATTGTAATCCCTTAGCCCCTTGTAGTCGGTATTACAGAATCAAGTACTCAATGTTTTTCCTCCCTAGAAGTTGTTTTGCATTTTCTATCATTTCCCCCACGGAGAGAGAACAGGGACAGCACCTTTCGTATTCTCCATTATACAGCTGGCAGCAATGAACGCTCCTAGAATGACTGACTCAACAGCGGAAATGAAGCTGGTCGTGCAATTATTTCTAAAGCAAGCAACTGGCTTTCCATTTACAATACTCCATCGCCTTCAACATGCATGCGTCTTTGGAGATGAGATTTAACTCTATTTCAGTTGCATCAAGTCATATGAAACGTAGCACACAGATCACATTCACATTTAAGGTAAAATAAATAACTGGCTATTCACACATAGCGTGTGATGGTACGGTTTCGTGATTCTTATAAAATGCCTACTGGTCTTGAGGCAGCACGTCTGCGAGCGGTAGGAAGCTGGCACCAGTCTCCTGCAAAAGGGGCGAAACTCTAGTTGGCAGTAAAATGCTCAAACACGTGAGCCTCCCCTGTTAAACAAGGCTCATTAACCACACAAACTTGCTGTTTCAGCTCTCTGCCTTCCGCGAAGTGCTATGATCTCCTCTGGTTATTGTTGAGAGCCAATGATGGGTTAAATTCCCATAAATTAACCCGTGCCTTGGGGGTTTGCCCAAGCCAACTGCTGGCATCGGTGTGGATGGATTTAATAGACCCGCCCGGCCCGGGGAAGCCCGAGGTGACTGAAGAAAGCGCCCAACCGACGCTTCTCAGCAGGCAAGAAGGAGACTCCAGAACTCGAGCCGATCGCCCTCCCCGCGGTCAGTACTTAGTGTCAGCTTATCGTGCAAGAGGGGTGAGCTTCGCACGCTCGCTCCTGCTGCTCCCCCCTTAAATCTCCGAGTCTCGCTGAGGGGAGGCAAAGTCCCTCTTCGGAGACTACCCAACTTTCTCCTCGCAGGACGCATCCGTTTTTCCACACTCCAGAGCCCCAGAAGAAGAAAGAGGTCTGGTGGCTGAGGCGGAGGGGAACCGGCTCGCCCCTCACAGGCGTCAGGCTGGCAGAAACAAAGTGCGCGCTGGCGAGCCCAGACCGCCACCGCCCGCCGCCCGCCCGCCCGGCCCCGCTCACCCTCCAGCAGCACCTCCTTGCCCGCGCGCTTCAGCGCCTGCACGGCCTGGTCGTGGGTGGCCTGGCGCAGGTCGGTGCCGTTCACCGACAGGATGGCGTCGCCCAGGCGCAGCGCCCGGCTCTGGTCGGCCGCCAGCCCCGGGAAGATCTTGGAGATGAGGATCGGCATCCGGTTCTCGCGGCCGCCCTTGATGCTGATGCCCAGGCCGCCCGCCTCCTGCTTCACCACTCGCACTCGGCGCACGGGCGGCGAGGCGCCCGCCTCCCCCGCGGGGTCGCGGTGCGGGGCGGGCGGGCTGGGCGGCCCCAGGCCGCGGTTCGGGCTCCCGGGCAGCGAGTCGCCGCCGCCGCCGGCGCCGCCGCCGTTCGGAAGACCGTTGAAGGCGGCAGCCGGCGGCTCGGGCTCGATCGCCGCCGCGTCGCCCGTCAGGCTCAGGCTCTCGCCGCTGAGTTCGGCCACCACCCGCACCCAGCGCTCCCTGAGCAGCAGCTCCACCAGCCCCGCTTTGGTGGCCCGCGTCCACACCGCCATGGCCGGCCCTGCTCCCGCGGCCGCCGTCGCTGCAGCTCCCTGGATTCCAGTCAGGCAGCCTCGGCGCTTCCCCCTTCCCGCCCGAGGGGGGCGGACCCCTCCCCTCCCCCCGGCGATTCATTATTCATGAGGGTCACGCCCACTTTCCGGAGGGGCGGGGCAAGGCCGGCGCGGCGGCTTCCGGGAGGTGAAGTTATCCTGGTGCAGGGGAAGCTCTTCTTGGTAGGTGGGCAAGCACCCCCGCGCAGCCGGGCTCCGCACAGTCTTTCGCCCTGGTTCTCCGTGACCCCCTCGAACTCCCGACCTCTTCTGCGAGAGCTGCCTGGGCACAGAGAGCAAAGTCAGGATGGAGAGGCGCTCCGCGACCCTGCAGGGCCGGGTGGCGCATTCATTCTCGCATTGATTGGTTCTTTGCAAATGCTCTGAGCGCGCAAGAGGTGTGCTGGGGCTCCTTTTAAGGCCCTGGGGACACGCTGAATAAAATGCACCACAGCTGAGAGAGCTTGTGGTCTAGTGGGAAAGAAAAACGGAGGCAACTAACTAGGTGTGATGCTCTGTGGTTAAAAGACTGTACAAACGTCCCTAGGACAGGGTAAAAAGAACATTTGGTTTAGTCTTGGGTGAGTAGCACAAGCGGAGGATAGGTCCAAAGGCATGAATCCAAGGCTTTGTCACTGCTTTTTATTTTTCTTATTTAACGCGTATTGGCGTCAGAGCCTCTGGAACTGGAGTTACAGTTATGAGCTATCATGTGGATGCTGGGAATGAACCCTGGTCCTCTGGAAAAGCAGCCAGTGGCTTTTACCGCCGAGCCATCTCTCCAGCCCGTCACTGCTTACTTTTGTGTGGTGGTGGTGATGGTGGGGGTGTTGGAGACAGGGTTTCTCTGTGTAACAGCCCTAGCTATCCTGGAACTCACTTTGTAGACCAGGATGGCCGATCACTGCTTTTTTTAAATCACCTGTGTACTTGCCTGTAATTAGAGGGGACCATGTCTTCTTAAGCACCTGGAAGCCACAGTGTGCAGGGTCAGAGACATTTGCAGTGTGGTGATGTTTTAGAGTTCCCCAGAGAAACATAGATTGTACACAATTAGCCACCGATTATGGAGGCTAAATTCCACAACCTGTCATCTGCAGCCCCAGGAAAGTTGGTTGGTATGCTTTGGAGAACCAGAGGAGCCAGTGGTAGAGTCTGGAGGTGTCAGAGACTGGCCGCCTGAGGAGGGGATGAAAGTGGAAAGCTACGATGTAAAAGAGCTGGCCCAGTCCGTGGAAAACAGGCTCACTGGAGTGTGGCGCAGAGAGATGTCCCAGTTCTCAGAGTGAATTTACCCCGTGCCTTATTGTTCCATCTGTTCACACCGGTGAGGACAGGCTTCTTTACTCAGGTCACCTGCAAATGACACACCCAAAAATGTTTTACATCTGTCTATCCAGGCATCTTTCAGCCCAATCAAGTGAACACAAAAAAGTAACCAACTATGATGGTTACTTAGGAAGGGGTAGTGTGTATGGAAAACTTCATATAACCAAATACTGAAAAATTTACTCTTGATTTTGTAGGCTTGCCAATAGTCTGGACTCCATCTTTTTTTTTTTTTTGAGCATATGTAGATGAACATCCCAGAAACTATAATGATTTGTTATCTAAAGAGTCTTCGATTGCCAGGCAGTGGTGGCGCATGCCTTTAATCCCAGCATTCGGGAGGCAGAGGCAGGTAGATCTCTGTGAGTTCGAGGCCAGCCTGGTCTACAGAGTGAGTTCTGGGACTGCCACAGCTACACAGAGAAACCCTGTCTCAGGGAAAAAAAAAAAGAAAAAGAAAAAGTGCAATTTTGCCTAACTGCAGAGCTAATAACCAAAGACTATATATAATCCGTGGTTTCTTCCAGCTCTGTGGGGTAGAGGAACTGAGGAAAGACTCCAACTTAAAGACTCTGACATAATGTCCACAATAAAAAACAAGACAAATTTGGTTCTCCAGCTTCCTGGTTTAGTGTTCTGTTTACTATCTACCTCACACCTCAAAAAGAAGAGTTTGGCCAGGAACTGTGGCTCACACCTGAAGTCCCAGCTACTCAGGGTACTCAGGATGCTAAGAAGAAGTTTTACCATAAGTGAGTTCCAGGCCATCCAGGACAACACAGTAAGACTGTGTCTAAAAAAAAAAAAAAAAAATCCAGAAACCACACTGCTGAGAAGTTAAGTTCTCAGCAAAATCATTAGGACGAAGATGCCCTCTAACTTTCCTTAATTAGTTGAAGTAAAATTCCCATGCTTTCATTTGGGTAGAGACCGGGCGGGGCGGGGGGGGGGGGGGGGGGGGGGGGGCGGTAAACAGAGGGAGTGTGCATCAGTTCCTGTAAAAGGGGAAGTTCAAAGGATTACTCAGGAAATACACGTTGCAGAGCCTAAGCTGTAGCCACACACCACTCTATCAAAGTGCATTCACATGCGGACAGAAACTTCCAATGAGTCGTTTGAATAGGGGCTAAGCATTCAGAGCCTGAATGAATAAAGAATTCAAAATGAGAAATACATCTCTTTTATCAAAAGAAAAAGATCGTTCCAACAGGTCTTTGCAGTAAGTGGGGCATGATTTTCCAAGCTGCAAATGTCAGCGCAAGCGCAACCCTCTAGCCTTCTCCTAAATCAACTGCAGTAACGCTAGCTTGTTGTTTCAGCACGTCCCAGTGTGCCCAAGTGCACCTGCAGTCACAGGCATTTCTGGCTGTCCTCCAGCTGAGCCAGAGCCCCCAGAGGCCTGAGTTATGTGAAATTTCTGCTTGTTAGAGAGCATTTGGCAGCTGATTCCTCAGAGTCTGAGCACTCATTTAACACTTTTGCATATGTGATCATCAGGGGGTTGGGCCGTGGAGGACACCTTTATTAGCAAAAGGGAAGTTCTGGAAATTCTTTCCAAGAGTATGAAGAACTCTTTGTCAATAGAGTTGGAGGAAGTCACAAATTATTGGTGAGGACACTTATGTAAGATAGCAAGTTATATAACAAAATATTTAAACCTGGGAACAGGGAAGGTAATAGAGATTACTTGGGAGTATTTCCTTAAAAAAAAAAAAATTATTTTGAAGCAGTGTCTTTGGCCTAGACCTCACTACATAGGCCTGGTTGGCACTGAATCCTTTTGGCTCTACCTACTGAATATTGTGTGTGTGTGTGTGTACACGCACGTGCATATGTGTGTGTGCAGGACCACAGAAGACATGGCACACACACAGCGGTCAGGGAACAACCTCAGATGTCAGTCTTCTTTCCACCATGTTGGGGGCCAGTTTCTTGTTTGCTGCTGGCTAGCTGCCCCATGAGCTTCCAGGAGAGCTTTCTGCCTCCCATTTTGCTAGAGGAGCCCTGGGATTACAGGCATGAGCTACCTCGCTGCACTTAATTTGGGTTCTTGAGATTCAAACTCATGTTCTCCTATTTATGCAGCAAGAACTTTACCTACTGGGCCATCTCCCCAAGCCACTAATGCCCCCTGACCCCAGACAATGTAACCCAAGCTAGCTCCAAATCTGCTGTGTAGCCAAGAATGACCTTGAGTTGATTTTCTGCTTCCAACGTAAAGTCGACATTCATCGTTGCATTTCCACATTCTTTTCACCACGTTCAGCTCAGCTACTCACCCTGGCAGGATCTTCCAGTGATGCATCACACATTCACACCGAAGGCCTTCAGAATACTCCTGATACTTTTAACTTCTTTCCCACCCAGCAAGACCTCATTCCAGCTTTCTGTGACTCCTGAATTCTTTGGGACTTTTCCTTTGAACAATGTAATTCTATGCCTAGGCTGGAGTGCCCAGCTAAGTTATACATTCCAGGAAGGCATAGACCACCTATCAATTACTTTTGCTCCCCACTATTTGAAAAATACTGCCTTGCAGAGAGGAAACTCATTAAACATGGAACTGACTGGCATCTGAGTTTCCTGTGCTGTCATCTTTTCAAATAATCCCTATGAGAGTTATGGGTTCCTTGCAGGGTAAAAATTACCATCTAGGAAACCTCAAGTAGTCGGTGAACTCTACTTACTGTGGGTAATGAAATCTGAAATAGGTACACATCTGTTCCCAAGGCTTCCTAAGGACAGGGAGACAAGCTTAGAGAATTCTTCTGGCAAGCATATTATTTTACCTACCTCTAAAAGAGGAAATGGCTGAGGTAATTCCTATAGCCTTTCCTTCCTGTCCCTTATATCGATAGCTCTTCTCGGCTAGCAATTGTTATCTTACCGTTTCTCAGAACAGGCAGAGCTCACTACTTCCAAATGAGGGCATGCCACTAGCTCCTTGGGTTCTGTAATCTCATCCTAACATTCCGAAGCAGGCTCTGATTCTATGCTTCAAACCCTAATGATTGTGCAGAGCTTGATAATGGAGGAGGGGTGAGAGGGGGATCTGTGGTTGGTATGTAAAATAAAGAAAAAAAATTCTTAAAGAAAAAAAAAAAAAAAAGAACCTGAAGCCCAGTTTAGACCAAGTGGTGACATATTCCTCTAATCCCAGCACTCAAGAATCGAAGATGGGCAGATCTCTGTGAGTTCAAGGCCAGTTTAGTTTATGAGTTCCAGGCTAGCCAGGACCACATGGTGAGACTGTCTCAAAAAACAAACAAAACCAAAGCCCAGTTTGGTCGCTTACCATGGTCTAAGGGGGCTGAGGAGGTCATGAACCTTAGGGTTTTTTGTTTTGTTTTGTTTTGTTTTTCCAGATAGCTTCTGCCTCTAAGGTTGCGAGGTGTGTATTAACGGGAAGCACCGAGCATTAAAAAGCACCAGCTAGTGTGAGCTGTTGGCCTTCAGCAATGGCAAACAATAAAACCTGTGGTCGAAACTCCCCAGCCCAGAGTCTCTGCTTTCTTTAGGAATGAGTCTGCCATAACACCGTTTGATTCTAGGCATAAAGGACAAATGGCCAAATTAATTTTGGTGACAAACAGATCTGGTATAAAGCTACACTTTGGCTGGAAGGAAACACACATTGCCAAGAGCCGTCAAAGAAAAGAATAAGTGGATCTGGGGCTGCTTCCAAGGCTCGAGTGTTGTGTAATTTCATCAGAAAGGAGGGCCCCAGGCTAAATCGCAGTTTTTTAGCAAGCCTGAAGGTCACTTCCCCCAAGCTGGGGGAACAAAAGCAAAAGCCACACAAAAGTAACCTAAGTCTTACCAAGGAAGACGCCAAGGGAGAAATGAGCTTGTAATATTACCATCCCAACATCCACCATGAATAACTGTTCCTCACAAGAGGCCAGTGTCCCATTTAAGGTAGTTCTACTTTGCCCTTTGTTAGAAATATCTACAATGTATTTCTTCTCCAATACAAACACACCAAGAGAAAATACGCTTCAGCCAACGCAGGCACATTTTTTAAAGATCCATCCCACCAAGATAAATCACTACCCATCTGAAACCCACAAAAATGGATTAACTATCTCCTGCATTAGGACTATGAAAACCCACATCTGCTAACCACATTCCTAATGGGAAGCAGCTGGGGACAGTTTTGTAACTGTGTGACTTGCTTTATAGGAAAATATTAGCAAGGACAGGCTAAGCAATTTAGTTTCGTTGAATCCACTTAGTTATGGAAAATCACCAGTGCTTTTTATTGACAATTATGGAAATTACATAATTTGCCATGAAATTCAAATAAGATCTAAAAATAAATGTCCACTCTCCCGGTCCTCATCAGCTCTAAGTTTTCAGTGTCTCACATACCACTCTGCAGCCTGTAGACTTAGTAAGTTCTCATTTCCCCAGGAGCCACTGAATCAACATGAATGCTTTATTTATTTTACCTCTGGAGCATTTTGTTGTTTTTCAAGACAGGGTTTCTTTGTGTAGCCTTGGCTGTCCCAGAACTGGCTCTGTAAACTAGGCTGGCCTTGACCTCACAGAGATCTGCCTGCCTCTGCGGGGGATTAAAATGATTCTCTACCACCACCTGGCTCTTGAGCTACCTTGCCGGCCTATTTTTTTGTTGTTGTTGTTAAAACACAAACAAAAAACAAGCTCCCAAATCAAAACCGGGAGGGCATAGTGACACATGCCTTTAATCTCAGCACCTGAGGGGCAGAGGAATCTCAGTAAGTTTGAGGCCAGCCTGGTCTACATGGTGAGCGCCTATCTCAAAACTACAAAACAAAAAAATTCAACAAAAACCTCCAGAATCCAGCTATGTATTTAGCTATGTAGCCCCTCCAGGCCTTGAACTTGTGGTGATGATGCACACGTGTGAGTCACTCAACTGGATTTTTTTTTTTTTTAAAGGAGCTCTGGTAAAGTTTTATTAAAGAAAAACTTTCCTGGTTTACTTTTCACCAGTCTGTTCTGGCATGCTTCTAATAATATCAGAATCACCTGGGTCAATGATAGCCAGTGTGCATACTATGTAGTATTTTCCACATGCTGTGCCCAATTCAATGTTATTGCCACTGTAGTGATGAACACCAGTTTTAGCCAATATGGCGTAGTATTCTATTTCAGATTTCCTCAAAGCTGGACAGTTGTTGGCGAGGATAACCAATTTTGCTTTGCCCTGTCTGATCATCTTTAGAGTCTGTTTGTACCCCAGCACGTACTTTCCACTTTCCATAACAAGTTGGAGCCTAGAGTTGATCGACTCCAGAGACTTTTTTCCATCTTCTTTGCGGCCACCATCTTCCTGCCTTAGGTGCGGGACAGCCCCCAACCAAGACCAGCCGCCAAGATGGCCGGGGAGCGAGAAAGGGATTTTTTTTTTACAACTTCAAACTTTTACTTATTTACGTGGGGGGGGGGGTGTCATACACACACCACACCAGGCATGTAGAAATCAGAGACAACACGAAAGTTTGTTCTCTCCTCTCATCATAGGGATTGAACTCATGTCATCAAGACTGTCGGCCAGCACCTCTACCCACTGAGCCATCTTGCTAGCGCCAAAGTGTTTTAAAATAGGGTTCTCAGTATTCCTGGCTGGCTTTGAACTTGCCATTATGCTGAGAATGACTTTGAACTCGTCTTCAGCTCCCGAGTACTGGGATTATAAGTACAGAAATGTGCCACCATACCCAGTGGTGCCTGTGGTGTCTCAGTTAGTGCTGTTGGGAGTTATGGTTTGTATGTTAAGTACACCCCA